TTCAGTCGCCAGAATTACGCGCACATGTCGAACATATACGAAATGTCAATTGGTCTAAGACGTCACTTGGCCCGATCAGTTCCTGGGGTTATGAAGGTAAAGTAGCCATCACGAATAGCTCTCAAGATGTCTTGCTAACTTATTACTAGTATGTAGCTCCCTTGCTATGCTTTGCTAACGCAGTGCTGAGACATCTTACTATTCGTGCTAACAGCTTGATAGCTCAACGTTCTGGTCACCACACTGATGCTGGAAACGCGGCCAACGGCTCTCTTCCTTGGTCCCGAGCATACCATACTGTACAATCTCGCGTATGCCTCTGTTAGTGGCTCAAGGCATCCCGCTATCCTTGGTCAAAGTATTATTGATGCTTGGTATTTACTTCACGTGCACATACAATGATCAAACATCTAACTCGCTCCAGGCCTGAACTCGCCGATCCTGTTAGTGCCACGATGGCTCGCTCAGAGCAGACACGTTTCGCAGATGCTCCAGAAGAAGAGTATCATTTCATGGTTGAACGATTTGGCTTTGTAGAGGAAGCCTTCTTCATGTGGAGCTTGGTACCCCTTGTCGGTGTTCACATCGACGGCATGTACTCCATCGTGACTGAGGTGACGAAACAAAGGTAGGTATCCTGCATGTGTGCTACGAACGACAGACTGATTCACCGAGCATAGATTGTTGGAACGACGTGTCGCTGCCCTGCTCAAAGTAGGCCAACTGACTAGCAAGGCAAGAAGCACCAAAAGTTTCTGGCACAGCTTGGCCGATGCCGTCAGGCCTTTCGAATACGACTTTCCGGCCGCCGTTTTATATTCACAGTGCGAATTACACGATATGGCGGAAACCGATATCTCGCCGAGAGGAGCACTTAGTAAATGTACGCTCGAATGGGCCATTGGCTACAAGCCTAACCACCCGGCCATACCTCCGCAGTTGGATCTCAGCAGCGATGACGGCTTAGCCCGCGCCATGCGAGATGCGGCAAGCGATGGGACCGCACTTATGTATCAGGAAAAGGAGGGTATATTGCCGCAGTCGCTATACCACGATCTCGAGAAGCGAGGCTTTGGAGATCCCCTGAAACATTTCATTGTTGTTCCGATCAGGACCTACGACGAAACTATAGTAGGGTACCTTCTTCTCGGCCTGAATACGCGGCGACCGTTTGACGACGAGTACAAGGACTGGATCAAGGTGTTCTCCAACTTGCTCGGTGCCTCTGCGGCCTCAGTAGCGCTTCACGAGGAAGAGATCAGGAAACGCGAACTCCAGGAAGAACAAGCTGCGAGGGATAGAGCAGCTCTCAATGCAGAAGTTGCGAATCTCACACTGGAAGCCAGTCACGTAGCTGAAAAGCTCCGCAACTTCCACGATATCGCGGACGAAGTTGGCCTGGGGTACTTTGAGATCGATGTCAATGGCATATTGCTTCATGCTAACGTAAGGACATTTCGTTCAGGAAACTGAATGCAACTAATATCAATTCAGGGAACGTACTTTGCTCAGACTGGCCACCGGAGAGACTTCCTCGAGGTCCCGGTATCGGCTTACAAGGAGTGCGTCTTTGAGGAGGACCTAGCTATGGTGGATAGCCAATGGAAGATGCTTGTATCCGGCGAACCGGCGACATTTGAGATACGATGGAAGCGACCAGATCAGAACCATCAGAGCGGAGAAGCTGCCGACGACGTTCTCTGGACATTGTCAGCATGTATGCCTATCAAAGGCGCAAACGGACTTGTCACAGGCATATTTGGATGCAACACCGACATCAGTGCTCAAAAAGAAGCGACTAAATCCATACTGTTGCGATCGGAAGCAGAGCGACGTCTAGCTTCCTTTACGGAGCTCGTACCAGTGGGTTTATATCATCTCAACCCAGACTTGACGATGAGATATGTCAACGACCAGTGGTTCCGCATTACCGACCATCCCAAAGTGCCCATCGATCAAGTAGAGTGGCGAACTATTATCGATGACGATCTGATAGAGCGATGTGTCCATGAAGTCGAGGTCGCCAGGCGCAAACGAGGACCACATACCTTCACAATAAACCTCAAGAAGAGGTGGATGGGTCCTGACGGTATTGAGACACCCACTTGGATTCTTGTCAGCGAGACGGCGTATCCCGATGAGACTGTGACGGGAACAATGACTGATGTCAGTCACATGGTATGGCTTGAAGCTATTCAGAAGAACAGAGTCGGAGAAGCGCTCGAGGCGAAAAGGCAGCAGGAGAACTTCATTGATATGACGTCTCACGAGATGCGGAATCCATTGAGCGCGATGGTACAATGCGCAGACTCCATATACTCATCCCTGAACGAAATCAATGAACTCGCGAGCGGAGATACCTTGGCGTTACAACCTGTCATTCAAACACAACTAAAAAGCTTGATCAGCACCAGTATAGACGCAGTCGATACGATACAAGCCTGCGCTACGCACCAAAAGCGAATTGTGGACGACATCCTCACTCTGTCAAAACTGGACTCAAAGCTGCTGGTGATCAGTCCCACGGTGTTACAACCCTCGGCTCTTCTACAGGACGCCTACAAGATGTTCAAGGACGAGGCGAACAAAGCTCGCGTGAATCTGGAAGTAAGATGTGACTCGTCCATTGCGGATTTGAACATTGATTGGGCGATACTGGACCCCAGCCGAGTTCTACAGGTCCTCATTAACTTGCTCACCAACGCCATCAAGTTTACCCAAAGCCAAGAAATCCGCAAGGTCGAAGTAATTATGAGCGCATCACGCGAGGCAGAACAGATGCCCGATGTCGAGTATGTGCCTCAGGAAGCCGTCAGGAAAGATTTCTTGACTCAGGCCGAATGGAACAACGCTGGCGAGCCGTTTTATCTACACTTTACTGTCAAAGACACAGGATGCGGTTTGTCTCCCGAGCATAAAGCCAAACTATTCCTACGCTTTTCGCAGGCGTCCCCAAAGACACATGTTCAGTATGGCGGCTCAGGCTTAGGCCTGTTCATCTCGCGCGAACTCACCGAAATGCAAGGCGGAAGCATCGGCGTATCCTCCGTTCATAATGTTGGGTCAACATTCACATTCTACATCAAATCACGGAGGGCAAAAGATCGAAACACCCTTTCAACCACAAACGGCCACAAGAAGAAAGACAGCCTGTCGAGTCGGTCCAAGGCCCAGATCATCCAGGGCGATACCAAAGCCCCCGACGGAGCACTGCTTACCGCCGTCTCCATGGAAGATCAGGAAGATGGCAGAGTAACCAATGACCACAAATACCACATTCTCATCGTAGAGGACAACCTCATAAATCAACGCGTCCTATCTACCCAACTCAAAAAGCTAGGACACACAATTCACGTCGCAAACCACGGCTTTGAGGCTCTCTCCCAGTTATCGCGCACATCGTTCTCTCCGACACCAAGCGAAACACCGCCTCTTCCGCTATCCGTTGTTCTTATGGACGTTGAGATGCCTGTAATGGACGGCTTGACCTGCACGAGGCGAATACGGGAGATGGAGAGGAATGGCGAGTTGAGCGGGCATGTGCCGATTATCGCTGTCAGTGCCAACGCGAGAAGAGAGCAGATCGATATGGCGAAGGAGGCAGGCGTGGATGAGGCGATCTGTAAACCTTTCCGCATCCCGGAGTTGGTGGCGTTGATCCGGGGACTGGGGGTTTGAGGGGAATGAAATGGGCGGCGATGCGGCGTGGATCCCGAGGTTTGCTGCATTCAGACTATTATATCGTAGCAAGTACGTAGTATGCAAGGCAATGTATACTTCTACTCAAAACATTGCTGTTGAATGCGACACAAACTCTAGTCACGCCTAGTAGCGTGAGTCAAGGGGTCACGCAATGCCAGCGTATGTCTAGATCAGGTCTGCCTACAGTACAGGCTTTCACGCCGCCGATGCCATGAATATAGTTCGCTGATGACGCATTCCAACCACGATCAACGATTGAACCATCCAAAACCTCTATCGAAAAGCCCCCAAATTGCTTCCAGAACATGTGCATCTAGTCGATCTTAGTTTTGTGCAAACTTCCGCCGTATAGTGAGCCGAGTGGTCTCCCCCACACCTAGTGCGACTACCCTCAGACGCGTCCGAGCACGCGTCGTCCAGTCAACTAGTGGGGATCACTCGCGTAGTAACGCCATCGAGATCGCAAACCCGTACAAAGTATGTGTGGGATAAGGGAGCAAGTCAGGGGAAGGTGAGCATCGCATAGACGGAACAGCTTCAGACGCGTCCAACACGGTCTCACGACGCGTTCTCGGGCCAAAACATGTCCAACTCGGCGTGTGACGAGTCGAGTGGAGCCAACCAGCCATCAGCGTCAGATCATTATCAGAGAAAATCTAATCTGATCCGAGGCCGGAACGAGCACGGCCAGATGGCAGCCAATGCAAGCGTCGAGACGGGCCTCGAGGCGGGCCAATCTGGGTTTCAAATGTATTTCCAAGCCTTTGTTCAGCCGCCAAATGCAGGACTAACTAGTCGCGGAAACGGCCCTTGCATGTTGTGGTGGGGAGACTCGACTCATAGCGCGTTGCGACGCGTCTGGCACAGACGGTTTTTACGTGAAAGCTCGTGGCTGGGCGACGCGCTGGAAGACGTTGACGATGATTGTCGACGACCAACAGACGAAAAGAAGGCAATATGGGTGTCATTAGGATGCGCGTGCTCGATTATGTAGTTCAGGCAGATTTATAATGTAATCCGATGTTTATAGGGCACAAAAGTCATGGTGATCGAAGCCGCACATGGATGAGATCATAGCGTCTTTTCGCGAGGAAGGCGCGTTAGTGGCTGGCCAAAGCCGATCGCCCAGTCACGTGCTAGCGTCTCGACGCGGATTTATAGTGAAGTCGCGTCTGCTCTTCGTCTCTCTCTACACCACAACCATCATCAGCCCACATCAGCGATACCTCTTGTAATCCTGACTGCACATTCGCCTTTCTTCACACAATCCAGAGCTCCACACATATTTTCTCTTCACAATGTCTGCTCTTGAGTCTACGCCTTCCAAGCAGGTACGTCGCGATACTTCCGGTACTTGTACCCAGCAAGACGCGTCCATGCTAACGCGTCAAAAGGTCGCATCCGCGATTGACTCGCTCAAGATGAACGACTCGCCCGCAAAGAAGCTTGACTTCTCGCCTGCACAGAAGGAGAACACCTTCAAGCCCATCGTCGGCATCCCAGATGACTTCGAGGATGACCTTGAGGAGGTCAAGCCCACCGTCGCGCCCACGATCAAGGAGGAGGAGGCCGAAGAGCCCCTCCTTCAAGAGAACCCTGGACGCTTCGTCCTGTTCCCCATCAAGTACCACGATGTAAGTTTCACTCCGATCTAACGCGCTTTACGCGTGACTAGACGCGTCAAACCCCACTTAAGCAATACCCTTGCTAATGACATGTCTACTACAGGTCTGGCAGATGTACAAGAAGGCCGAGGCTTCTTTCTGGACCGCAGAGGAGATCGATCTCTCCAAGGATCTCCACGACTGGAACTACCGCCTGAACGATGACGAGCGCTTCTTCATCTCCCACGTCCTCGCCTTCTTCGCCGCCTCCGACGGCATCGTCAACGAGAACCTCGTCGAGCGATTCTCGAGCGAAGTACAAATTCCCGAGGCGCGATGCTTCTACGGCTTCCAGATCATGATGGAGAACGTCCACTCCGAGACCTACTCTCTTCTCATCGACACATACATTAGCGAGCCCAAGCAGCGCCGCTACCTCTTCAACGCCATCGACAACAGTAAGTTATACCTACAACGTGCTTTGCAACATCACCTAACGCGTTCCAGTTCCCTGCATCCGCAAGAAGGCTGACTGGGCCATGCGATGGATCTCCGACAAGAACTCTACTTTCGCCAACCGTCTTGTCGCCTTCGCTGCTGTTGAGGGTATCTTCTTCAGCGGCTCCTTCGCATCCATCTTCTGGCTCAAGAAGCGTGGCCTGATGCCCGGTCTTACCTTCTCCAACGAGCTCATCTCCCGTGATGAGGGTATGCACACCGACTTCGCCTGCCTTCTCTTCTCTCTCCTCAAGAACAAGCCCAGCCTCGAGTCTGTCAAGGCCATCATTACCGAGGCCGTTGAGATTGAGCAAGAGTTCCTCAGCGACGCTCTGCCATGTGCTCTGCTCGGCATGAACGCCAAGCTCATGTGCCAATACATCGAGTTCGTTGCTGACCGTCTGCTGTTGGCTCTTGGCAACACCAAGGCCTACCACGCCACCAACCCCTTCGACTTCATGGAGAACATCTCGCTAGCCGGCAAGACCAACTTTTTCGAGAAGCGCGTCGGTGACTACCAGAAGGCTGGTGTCATGGCTAGCACAAAGAAGCACGAGAAGGACGGCTCATCTACGCCCGCTCCTGAGCCCCAAGGCCAGTCCGGAGACTTCTGCTTCGACGAGGACTTCTAGACGCCTCGACTTCTTCTCTTGTTATTTATTTGCGATTTAGTTACTGTACAACACTTCGGACGCTTGGGTTTGGCACGGATGCCGGGCATCTTCGTTCACATACCCCCTTTGCATTTGTTGAAGTAACCACTCTTCGCACTTTGGAGTCATGGCGTTGCTAGCTAGCTGGGATGGGCCTCTTGGATGAGTGATGCGGTAGGATAGCTATAGTACGCGACAGCGATGGGATCAACGACTCTATCATTTTGAATAATCACGAATACAAACATTTACATATATACATGTCTCCACTACCACATCTCCATTGACGCGTGAAGGTCTTCATGATGTTACTCGTGCATGACGCGTGCAGCTTCGGTCCGACACGCCACGCGACAGCATGCGCTTGAACGAACCAAGCTTTGCCGATACCTGCCCATATCTTCTACCACGTGGATTACTCGCAGTAGCCTTCATGCGCGCGACTTCCTCTGCAGATGCTACGCGCCGCCCAGGCCCGCAACCTTGCCCTTGGAAGGATTCGCTCAGGTACCGCCTACTATGACGTCAGCCATGCGTGAGGCGTCCCGCGGCTGCCATCCTGTGGAATTGCCACAAGCGAGCTGGATACTTGCAGGCTGTCCAGCGCCATGTTCAGCTCTGCAGTTTGCGACACCTTGACTACTTGCTTCTAACCAATCGCGCGCTATGGGGATATTGGTAATCCTGTCCCTGCATTTGCGTACAGAATTGGTGCACCAGACAACGACAGGCTAGCTCGTAAACATCCGCGACCCTCCGCGACAAAATCCGACTCTATCGCTATTCTAGTGCAGCGTGCATATTCTATGATTACCACTTGAACCAGGTCGCAGCACGCAAATCCGTGTGTTCAGCGAAGGGTGTCAAGTACATTGAGGTGGCGCCGGGGTAGATCCATGCCGCTTCGTGACAAGTCAACATGGCAGACACCGTACCCCAGATCAAGGTGACAGACCCACCTGCCGTTGGCAAAGGCTCCTACTTCCAGAACCAGGAGAACGCGTCTTCAATCACAGTAGACGGTACGTCACACACCAGTACCCATTGTTGCAAGTCACGTCGCAACTTGACAGATGCTTACTCCAGGATCCGCAGGCCCATTGTCCAACAAGAAACTCTCCGCCAAACTTCGAAGCCCCACCACACCCTCTGCGCAACCGGCAGGCGATACACACAATGGATACATTGGCGATGGAGAGAGATTGCCCGAAACACTCATGGACCCGCTCTCGCAAGTATGTACACATAAGGTTCGAGATGCGGAGACGGACGCTAATTGCGCATTATCGTATAGCAAATCCTCCAGAGAACGAATACGTCGCCCGCCGTACAGAAACTACGATCCCAGAACACCGAGCCGATCCAATCGCCAACGTCACCCAACGAAGCGAACGCAGACAAGAAACTGAGTGGAGAGACGGCCCGCGACACAAGCGGGGGTAAGGCAGACAAGAAGTAAGTGCACATGGTCGTTCAATTGAGCGCATGGGGTGTCATATGGCTACATGCCAAGGGTTAGCGCGTATTTCGTACTGAGGTTCAGGACCCGCGTATCGAGGCTGAGCTCGCGCTTCGCTCTCTTGTTGGCCTGATCGTCATTGCCGACGCTAGCTCCAGGTGTGACCAGTAAGGCTGACTATGTATGTAGGAAAGTGTCATTCCTTAGTCGCTTCATCGGAGGCAACAAAAAGAAGAGCACCCTCGATGGCGCAAGCGACAATGGCTCTGAGGCAGACGACCGACGACCAGAGGGTATGGATGCCCAGCTCTATGTCGACAATGTCAGCTTCAGTCCGAAGATACCACATCCTCCGGCATACATCAAAGTGAGGACAAAGTTCAAGAAGGAGAAGGAGTTTGACCGTGTCTTCCTGGCGCAGGAGTTACGCTCTGGATCGGATAAGAAGAGTCCCCCCGCTGCTGGATCAAACCCTGCGCCTCAGTCTGGGTCGGCCGCTACGCAGAATCCTATCTGGGCGGTTGAGTTCAGCAAAGATGGGAGGTATCTTGCTGTTGGTGGTCAGGACAGAGTCATCCGGGTGTGGGCCGTGATTGACAGCCCAGAAGGACGCCGCGCACACGAGAATACCGAGAGCGATCCGCATGCCCAACTCAGCGCACCAGTCTTCCAGCAGAAGCCCGTCCGCGAATACCAAGGACATACGTCGACGATCCTGGACTTGAGCTGGAGCAAGGTATGTCGAATTTATGCGAGGCATTGATGCATTAGCTGACACCTACCAGAACAACTTCCTGTTATCCTCTTCCATGGACAAAACCGTTCGACTATGGCACGTTAGCCGAGACGAGAATCTATGTACATTCAAGCATTCCGACTTTGTTCCTTCCATTCAGTTTCACCCTACGGACGACCGATTCTTCCTAGCTGGTTCGCTTGACGCCAAGTTGCGGCTATGGAGCATCCCCGACAAGAGCGTGGCGTTTTCGATCACTGTCCCAGACATGATCACATCAGTAGCGTTTACGCCCGACGGAAAGACGTGTATAGCTGGTACCCTCGGTGGACTCTGCATGTTTTACGATACTGAAGGATTGAAGTGGCAGGCGCAACTCCACGTAAAGTCGACTCGCGGTCAGAACGCGAAGGGCAGCAAGATTACTGGAATCCAAGCGACATACTGGCCTCCAGGAAGCGAGAGTGGTGAGATGAAGCTCTTGGTATCGAGCAATGATTCGAGGCTGCGCATCTACAACATGAAGGACAAGACTCTAGAGATGAAGTTCCGTGGTCACGAAAACAACTGCAGTCAAATACGAGCTACCTTTGCTGATAGCAGTGGACACATTATCTGTGGAAGCGAGGATCGGAAAACGTACATTTGGTCGACGACATCTACGGTAGAGGGCGAGAAGAGGAATCATCGTCCGGTGGAAATGTTCGAAGCTCATAATTCTATCACGACGTGTACTGTCATGGCACCCATCGAGACACGGCAGTTGCTCAGCGCATCGGAAGATCCCATCTTCGACCTCTGCAATCCACCACCGGTCACTCTAGTGTCAAAAGCTGAGTCCGTCGTTTCGTCGCGGGCGCCTACAGAGGCAGGTTCAGCCCATCCGACACCCGCACCCACAGATACCAACTTTAAGAAAGCTGCGGAAAGCCCGGCATACGTTGCTCGCTCGGCACATCGAGGCGGCAACATAATCGTTACAGCAGACTATACCGGAGCGCTGAAGGTTTTCAGACAAGATTGTGCCCACCAAAAACGCATACGGCTGAGCGAACAGTGGGACACAGCGTCCATGAAGAGAATGTCGGGTATCGGACGACCCAGCAGTATCATATCGCGGACCAGCCGATCACGGCGAGACAGTGTATCTACACAGCCACCAAACGACCGGATCATGACATGGCGACAAAGCATATCGCACGCCAGCTTCGACTCAACGAATTCCCTCCCTCGCCGCAGCGCTTCACCTCGAAAGTCGCTAGCTGCTTTGAGCTTTCACTCCACACCCCACGAATCCCCCGTCCTGCATCCTACAAAAACGAACGACACCTTCGACACCAAGCCCACGGGTACACCCAAGACATCCATATCCATGGACCGCACCACCACATCTTTACGCAGTGCATCACAATCTGAAGCCTCGTCGCCAATCAAAGAGCCGTACACTGTTACTGCTGAGCCGGAGGACGAAAAGAAGTCACAAGGGCAAAGAGCTAGTTCTACCAACCCTCTTGCTTTGTACAACGGCCAGAGCTGGCTCTTTTGGACAAATCGCGACAAGAGTGCGCTGACGGCTGGGAACAAGAAGGAAGCGGAAAGACCGGATTTGCTGGGTCGCATGAGTACGCTTAGTCAGATTAGTAGGCTGACGGATGAGAGGAGCGAGGGGGAGGGGGATGACAAGAAGTAATGCGATGTAGACGTTCGTGCGTATATGGGGTTTGGAGTTCTGCACATTACAAGTCTTTCGTGCCTATTTGGACACAGGGGTCGGAAGTGTATCGCATCACAATGAAGTCTACAGACGAGAAACGATATCCAGTCACTTTGCAAACTTGCACGAAAAGGTCCGCATGTTGTAGTTCGTCAAGTGTCAGCACCAAATCCTCGTTTCCATCGTACGAATAATCACGTCACCAGATACAAGACACAAAGGTGGCAATGTTTGTTTTTCTAATTTTTACATTGTTTTCTGGTATTTTCTATTTTCTGATGTTTTTGTGTGGTTCAAGCATGTCACTCAAAGTGGGCCATGCTCCATAGAACCAAATCAACGACCAAAAGCTCAAACACCATAATGGCCGATCATGTCCGTGTTCAAATCTGCTGGTATCGTCCGCGCTACCTCATAAATTGCAGGTTCGAACAAGCAGACTCTACGCCTGCGACGTCATTCCCACTGACATGATAAGTCATGTCGAGCGAGCGAGCAGTCTACTGGACAGTGGGGATAGCAGGGATAGCAGAGAAGGCCGACGCGAAATCAGGGACATCGGTGACGAATTCTGTGCCAGTGGGCCTGACAAGCTGGCGACGATGACTGAAGAGGCGACGCCTATCGAAAGTGGCCGTCTCGTACTCGGGATCCCAGTCTGAGAAGGTCTCCGGGGCGATGATGGGCGTGGTGAAAGAAGAAGCAGTGGCGGTGGGAGTAGTGTATGTGGTAGTCTCCATGACGGGGTCCCAGTCGCTGAATGTCTCGGGAGCGATCTTGGGGTAGTCGAAGGAGGAGGAGGAAGACGGCGTTGCAAGCACGTTCTTGGCACGAGTCATGGTCGCCAGTGTGGTGGATGCGATTGAGGCAGATTTGTCGCTGGGCAGGCAGGCGGCGAAGTCGTCGACGATGTGACGGATACTGTAGTTCGGTGAGTATATGTCAAGAGGAAGGAGGTGATGAGCTTACCCGTAAGAGTCAGTCTCGGAGATGTCAATCTCATCGTTACCACGTAGCTGGCCGACGTTGGTAGCGAATCTGCGTTTCAGTCAGAAACAGGTCGAAGGAAGTATAGCTTGCGGGATAGCTTACTCGATAGGCCAGTACTTGGAGAACATGGCGCAGTGCTGGACGACGGGCACGTTGTTGCGACGCTGCATGTACGTGTTGACAAAGTGGCACTGGCGGCCCGAAGCATCATTGGTCTCCTCGCAAGCGGTGATGCACCTCTGAGCATCGAATTTGCCGTCTTGCCAGTACCTCATGCCCATGTAGGTGTCCTCGCCGTTGCAGTCAAGAGGGGCTTCGATGGCAGCACCGAGTGCGTACGCCTCAAGGGCATAGCCTGCAGGGACATCGGGCGTGACAACGTCCTTGACGTAGGCATTGGCGCCGGCCATGACGACGTGGAAGTCCTTACGGGTCTGACCTTCGTTTATGGCGATGTTGGGGAGGATGGTGCCTGACCATAAGTCGCACTCTGGAGGTGGACGGGAAGTTAGTTGATGTCTCACGTAATCTTCGAAGGAAGACACGTACTGATGTGAGTCGTAGACTCAGGGTTGGGGCAGTGGGTGCCGTGAGGCGCATTGGCGGGCTGACGTTCGAAGAAGATGGTGAAAGCATTGCACTTGGCGTCGTTGTCGCACTCGGCAGCACCTGAAAGTAGTTAGTAAACTTGTTGAAGCCATTATGCACTTGTTGGTGTGATGCTCTCCAGTGCGGAGTCGTACTTACACAGATCGACATCGTACGAGTCCATAGTCACGTAGTGGACGAACTGTGTTGGTTCATCGTACGTAGTGAGGAGGTTGGAGTAAGACTGGACGTAGCCAGGGGGAGTGACGGCCGATGATGCAGCATCGGAGAAGGGAGTGTAGGCCTGGAAAGCCTCGGGGGTGTCCGGGAAGACTTTGGGGCCAGAGCCCGAGAAGAGAGGCTCGCAAACCGACTTGTTGCCGAAGTTTGCGAAGACGGTTGCCATCACCATAGTAAGAAGTCCGAAAAACTGGACTAGAGAGAACATCTTGTCTTTGATGTTCAGTTTGTTGGTAATATATGGAGAGAGAAGAGATGAAGAAGAAAGGAGGAAAGGAGAGGAAGGCAGTATATGTATGAATTCAGCAAGAGCTACGCGAAGATGCTAAGACTTAGATTGTGGTTGAAGACGAAGGCAAGTATCCTCTATTGCCTTTGTTGAGCTGGGTCGTGCCCACTTCATCCATATGATGCAATCGCGAGACCTCCTTCTCGAGAACAAATTGGCGGAGCGAAGTGCCCACCTTGTGATGAACGCGCGTTCTGTTGAACCTGAACTGCCTCTCAGGAACGAGGACTGAGCGGTAAATTAACATAAGACAGCCCAGAAGCGGCTTTGTTCTCCATATCGTGGACTGGGTTCCAGATTGTGACTATGAAGGAAGAAGATCGTGTCTTCTTTAGGCACATTGCTGTGGATATTCGCGCAATCTTTTCTTCAACAATTGAACCTTCAAACGCGTATCGAGCTCTGCGTGATCCGATTGACGAGAGTCAAAGTCATTGAGATACTGCAGATCTGTTACAATTATGTAAGAGTTCCGCCGAGACCTAGGAATGCAATGGTACGAGTGGATTGTCAGTAGTACGGCCACGCTTGGGGTGTGATCTGAGCAATGGAAAGGAGCACATGCGCAACACAATCACCAACGCCTGCCCTGGGCCTGAAGATCGTGGTGCATGTAGAAAGCGAGGAGGGAGCAGCTCGACGAGCGAAGGGCATTAGCTCCACTAGCTCTAGACCCGCCCAAAAACGTCATAGTCTCAACCAACCAGCGATGACCAGACCAACCAACATAGTACTCGCGAATAGCAGCAACAACTTGAGCAAGACCCTCTCGGATTTTTGGTCACGTCGCCTCTTTCTATTACGAAGGTTTCCACCCTCCCAACCAGGAAACTAGAGATACGCGCAATCCCGCGGTCATGGGCCGCACCGAAAAATCACAGGGTCTTGCGCCACCCGCCGTGCGCAAAGATATCCGAGCCAAACAAGCGCGGCACGTGGTGAACAAAGTCGTTCCTGCAATATTGGCATCAAATGCAAGAGCTAGGCGAGGTGCGGACGGGAGTGAGCTTATTCCGAACCCGGGGCCGAACGGCACGGTGGGGCAGGATAGTAAGAGTAGGGATGGTGCACGTGTTGAGGGTGGTGAAGATACGGGCTATGTGAAGAGGAAGGGTCAAGGGAGGCGGAAGGTCAAAGGTGGGAAAGACGATGTTGAAGAGGAGGATGCGAGGAATGGTGATGTGGGGAGAGATGCTGGCAAAGGAAGGGCAAAGGGAAGAGGCAAGAAACGCAATGATTCTCTCGACGAAGGGCTATCAAATCTCGACTTGAGTAGTACTGCAACATCAACACCCGATCCATCTAGGAAACCGCGATGCATACGCATGATAACGACGGATGCCCTCACAGCTGCACATATGCTCGCCAATCCCTCATTATACCATGCCACCGCGACCACCACATCAAAGCAGACGTCGAAGAAACAACCCAACCCATGTATCTTGAACATGGCGTCTCCCCTCCGTCCAGGCGGCGGTCTCCTAACAGGCGCCACTTCCGCCGAAGAATCCCTCTGCGCACGCACAACGCTGCTGCCCTCGCTCAAAGAATCCTTCTACCGCCTCCCCGAATATGGCGGCATATACACACACGACGTGCTCGTTTTCCGCTCTGCCCTTCCTCTCGGCGATAGCGCAGGTGAGCTTTCTCCCACGGAGCGCTGGTACATCGATGTTATTAGTGCGGGGATGCTACGATTTCCTGAACTAGAAGGGGAAGAAGAGGAAGAGAAAAGGTTAAGCAGGAAAGATAGGGATATTGTAGAGAGCAAGATTAGGAGTGTGTTGAGGATAGCGGAACAAAAGGGGGTTAAGGCGTTGGTGCTCGGGGCCTGGGGCGTTGGAGCGTATGGTAATCCAGTAAGAGATGTTGCGGAGGCTTTTGCGAAAGTCTTGGGTGGTGATAGCTCTCACTCTTTATCTGGAGGTAAGAAGAACAGCAAATCGCCATCGACTGGTGCTGAGACATTTCCGACGATTGAAAACATCATCTTTGCTATTCCTCAACGCAAAGTCGCCAACGATTTCGCAGCTGTGTTTGGAGGCAAGATCGAAGTCGAAGAAGGTCCTGGAACCTCTGCGGATGATGACGACGAAGAAGATGACGAGGAAGATAAGGTAGCGGAAGAGTTGAGGAGCAAGATTCAAGAGATGGACGGCCAGATGAGTAAGGTTTGGAATCCAGATCTGAAAGCAAGGCTTGGTACTATCTTGGACGGGTTGAAAACGCAGTTGAGGGAGAGGGAGGGGACGCCTCGGACGGGTAGTGTGGATGATGAGGAGGAAGATGAGGACGGAGACGAGGACGATGATGAGGATGAGGGATATGCCGAGGACAGCGACGAGACCGATGCGGATGAGGATGATCAAGATCTCACTGAGCGCAAACAAAGGATACCTGGCAAGAGAAGAGATACAATGGATGAAAACGATGACGATGAGGAAGATTAGCTTCAATTATACGGAGCGATATCCTCACAATAGGTGACGAGCATCAATACAGTGCTAGTAAGAATACATTGATGGGTATCTCAAAACTTCTATATGCTCGAACTTTTGTGTATATACAACATTTTCCAATGCGTCAACGCTCAAGTGGTTGCACTGGTAGTGCTCGGTTCTTCTGACGCAGTAGCTGCTGCCTTTGTGTCCTTGGTGCCGTTTGTGTTCGTCTCTTCGTTGGCCTCATCGTCCTCCAACCCCAGCTTCTTGAGATCCACGGCCAAAGGATCAGACTCCGCTGTGCTTTCTGTAGGGCCCTCGTATCCAGGTGGTGGCAACGCCCATTCAGGCAAGCCAGTCTCATAATCCCACTTCCCTTCCTCACACCTGTACCTTCGCGCGTGCAGGTAGATACCCAACTCGTGCACACCAGGGTCGCTATACAGGTCTGTATCGCATACTTCGCATTTCTCCCCGGTCATTCGCTCCGCTTTCCGCTTGTTGTAGGCATCGACCATTTCGTCGTGGTATGCGACCGCGTCGGCGACTTCCTCCTTGCCCATGCGCGAGAGGCGGGACATGATGTCTTCATCGTCTTCGTCTTCGGATTGTCCGCGGCCGAGGGCGGGGCCGAAGACGCGCTGATTGGCGTATATGGGATCGTTCGATATGGGATGGCCGAGGAACTGGAGGTGGACGCGGAGCTGGTGGGTGCGGCCTGTTACTGGCATGCAGCGCACAATGGAGTAACCGCGGAGTTTCTTCCACGGCTGACCGTTGGGGCCTGTCTCTCCATCCTGCTTCTCGCCATCATTTCCGTCGTCTTTGGGTGGGTAGTATGCCAACCGCTTGAAGACCGTCTTCGCTTCCTTGCCGTTTGCGCGCACGCGGTTCAAACCGAGCTTCGGGCTGATTTGCAAGATAGGCTTCTCGCAGAGGATCTCTCCTTCTGGGAACTCGCCTACCACTCGCGTGATGTACTCCTTCTTGACCGTCCTCCCTCTGATTTGTGCACTCAGCTCCTCTGCCGCCTGCTTGTGCTTGCCAATGAACATGATGCCGCTGGTGAGCCTGTCGAGTCGATTACACGGCAACGGGTTCCAGGTATAGCCACGGTCGGCCCTCATGATCTCGATGATAGAGTTGAAGTTGTAGCGGCCGGCGGGGTGGACGGGCATGCCGGCGGGTTTGTTGATGACGATCATGTTGTCGTCTTCGTGAACGATGCCGATGGGCTGCGCGGTGCACGGAGGCTCGTGGCGGTGGAGGGTGTGGGATATGACATCGCCATTCTTGACTATAGTCTTTGTGCTCGGGACCGGCTGGCCATTGATAACTACGCGACCCTCTTCTATGGCCTGCTTGTAGTACTCGGCGGGCCGGTCGCGGAACTCGCTAGAGAAGATGTCGAGAATTTCTCTGCCCCGCCATCTTTCCTTGCAGAAGGTGTTGTATGTGAAGTGGTAGGGCGTGACCTTGCGCAGGCCGTCTTCGAGGTAGTATGGCCGCGGCCAGGGATCGCAGGGCGTGATTGCGACGGCGGGCGGCTCCTTCCAGGGAAATTTGTCGTCGGGCAGGGGCGGGTATTTGTCGCGCGGGGGCGAGGGCACTAGGGCCATGGAGGGAGAGCCTGTGCGAGTCTTGGGCACAGGCAGGCGGCCCTTTGAGGCGAGGTATGCGAGGATGCGCGGAGAGGGCGCCAGAATCGCGGGGGAGAGGGGTTGAGGTGCGTGTGGGAGAAATCCATGCTGCGCAAGCCGAGGCTGATGGGTGACGCAGCCAACTAGCCCGTCGTCTTCATGTCCGAGACGCGTCTGCCTCCAACACCAACCACAAGCAGAGATAACATGGCACAGCAGGCATTGAAGTCGCGTACACGGGCCGACTACAAGTTTCAACTCGAATACAGGACACGATGGTGCGTCTTCTCGCGCGACGCCTTTCTCGGTACTGACAGCAGGAAGGAGCGACAATGACATGTACCACCACATGAACAACAGCGTCTATTACTATCTGTAGGTCTTCAACATATCATTAGGGGACGAATACTGACTATTGGTAGATTCGATTCTGTAGTCAATACGTACCTCATCCAGCACTGCTCACTGCACCCACCTACCTCCCCACAGATCGGCCTTGTCGTACATTCGCACTGTGATTATTTCGCCCCTGTCGAGTTCCCCTCCGTCGTAGACCTCGCATTACAAGTCAACAAGCTTGGGAAGAGCTCGGTCACTTACGAGATCGGCGTCTTCGAAAGGGGCCAAGAGGAGGTCAAGGCCGTCGGCGAGTTCGTTCACGTCTTCGTGGACCGCGACAGCCGCCGGCCTGGAAAGGATGGCATGAGTACCCAGCTCAAGACTGGTCTAGAAAAGCTGCTGGCGGAGAAATCAAAGCTGTGATATACCTTGGCATCAAAGCTGCTGAGCTATGCATACAACAACACCCACGACCCAGCCAGGGCTCGTAACATGACGAACAGCAAGACACATTGCTACTGCATCCCATGACGAATAGACACAGATACTGTCGAAGAGACGCAGGCGGGGTATCGGTTAGCCACACTTCGGCAATGTATACCCGATCTCCGATCCTGCATTGCGTTCAGTTGTTTCCAGCACTGGAGATGGCGTTGCAAGACATAACTCCTCCCACCAAAGTCCAACAGTTCTTCTCGCATCGTATTGCCTCCCCTTCATCCTACAGCTCAAATTCTCAGCTTCGACACCTCAAAGACACAACACCATGTCCACCTCCGCGATCCAAGGCCCCGGCATCCTCTTCGTTCGCTCCCGCATCTCCCCTTCCGCCAAAGACATACTCTCCGAGCCCACGTTTCTCGCTTGGTATGACAACGAGCACATTCCGGAAGTAGTCTCTACATCCGGCGTCGACTCTGCTTTTCGCTTCATTGATATCCACAAGTCCTCTTCTATCGGCAACGAGCAGAACCCAAAGCCATTCCTAGCATGCTATCCCATGGAAGATCTGGCATTCACGCTAGGCGACGAGTTCAAGAAGATAGGATTTAAGAGTAATGCGCTACCTGGTAGTGGTGTGATTTATGATTTGGCGGATATGGATGTTAGTTACCTGGGTATTGTGGGTAAGGCACCGAACCGAAGAGAGGGAGAAGGAGGTGGACCGAAGTATGTGATCACGTCAGGCATTCGACCGGAAAAGCAGCCAGCAGAAGAACAGGTCACTGCGTTCTTCCAAAAGGTATGCTCATCCTGTGCCATGCCCAGTGAATCCTTTTAGTATATTCGATACTGACGTTAATATTCTAGCAAATCTCGACGCTCGAAAAGTCCCCGCAGTATATGCGAACACTGCGCTTCAAACTCCTTTACGCGAGGACTAATGCGCAGTCTCGCGCTCTCAAGGGTTTGCCAACGACAGATGAACCCCATCCCGAGCCGTCGAACTGGATGGCTATGCATGAATTCGCGGGGCCACCGGATGGAAATGTTGCAAAGGCGCTAAGTGATGGTGTGAGCAAGGCTGCCGAAGAGGGTGGTTGGGGCGAGACGGGAATTGAGACGCTTGTTTGGAAACTAGATCGTGTGCATGGAGATGGGAGGTTCTTTGAGTGATATCAACTCATATTCAAGGTGTAAACAAAAGGCTGTTGTTGTATGATGCAAATGATCACTGCTTCAGAGTTGCTGCATAGTACACACTCCAGTACGAGAAACACTACATATGTCTTCTTTCTTTTCAAGACAGACTCGTCTCCTTCTTCGGTACAACAGCAACACTACTCAATGGTCATGTCCATGGTCATGATCATGTCCATCGCCCTCCTTCTCATCCCACGGATGTCCCTCACCAACACCCTCCCAAGGATCACCCTTCCACGTCATCCAAGTCTGATGGCCCCTAACATTCGCCTCCAACTCCCCACACCTCCTCTGCTCCCAGCTCTCTTTACCCGCTACAACAGCCCAATGCTTCTGCGCCCTCCCTGCCCAGTGCTTCGCCCGATCCTCGATTCCGAAACTACTCCACGTGTACGCTAGGATCTCTTCATACTGGGGTAGTTCGGTTAGGAGCCCTTCCTCTTCCAGATGCTCAATGAGTTTGGGGAGAAGGCCGAGAAGCTGCGGTGAATCTTCTGGATCGGTGGGTAGGACGGATTTCAGGGCTTTGATCTCTGAGAGGCGGTCGTTGGATGCCATTGTTGCGTCGTCGTCTGCGGTGCACAGAGGGCAGGCGCAGGTGAAACCGAAGTTCGCTTCTATAGACTTCACGCGACGTCGGCGAGCACGTTTTTCGAAGCCATCTATGGAGTGATTAGAGGCGTCCTTCCGTTGATTTTTTCCGCGGATAGTTACTTACAGCTTCTCGTAATCTCTTCTCCGGGCTTGATGTCTCTGAGAGCGAAGACTTCAAATGAGAGGGTGTAGTCGTCGAAACGCCATAGAGTATTTGGTCGACAAGCATGATTGATGCGCTGTATTAAATTAGCATATATCTAAAGGAAAGTCTATCGGTCATGACTTACCGCGGCCTCGGGAATAACTGCCAAAAGCTGGGGCAGCTCGTCAACCCATGGCCATTTAACAGCAATGCCGTTCGTCGTGACAATGTCCTCGACAGTGCCATCTACATTGACATCCAATTTCTTGACCATCTCCCTAGTTTTTGTCGGCAACTGGTCAACCGCCTGCTTCAACACGAGCTGTGGCCTCGGCATCTCCGGAATTTCCAGTATCTGTTTAGCGACGAACAGCACAGGAGTCTGCACAATCAAGCTCTCGCCTGGAAAGATCCCGGCGATATCTTTCTTTGCAAACAACCCTTTGCCCTTCTCTCCTGCGTATTTTACCTCCCACATACCCATCTCTTCTCCCACCTGACCTTCCATGCCCCCAATGCTCATGCCAAACGTCTCCATGGTCACGCTAGCCGCGACCTCGGGACTCACAACAAAGCTGATGCCGCGACCGTTGTTGTAGTTGGCATTGGTGTAGGCGCAGAATGTCTGATGAACATCTGATCCTGTGCTCTCGTTCTCTTTACTGGGTAGTATGATGTCTACGCATGTAGGGTGATGCGTCCATGGGAAGGTATCTGAAGTGTAGCCATCCTGAGCCACGGGGCAAACTGTTGCAGGCTTGTTGATAAGGCCATCCTGAATAACGGGACTGCGTGCAGTGTAGAAAAGTTCCGCTCTGGCAGTCGATGCGCAGAGAAGTGCTGTGGAGACGGCGAAGTAACTGGGTGAATGCCGTCGCCGCGGCCATGTTGCTGTGACCATCTTCCAAGCTCTTTACTTTCTTAACTACCTTCCTGGAATGATGCCGAAAAAGAAAGAAAGTCCAAAAAAGCCAGACGTCAACATCTTCTACGTCGGAAGAATTAATCGCGCGAGATAGGAAGCCACGTTTCACGAGTAATCACGAGTAATGATCTCCGAAACCCCTGTTGCTGAAACGTGCTGGCTGCTTGGCGGTTGCATTGCGCCTGCATCTAGATTGTCTTGGGGATGCATGAGGCCAGTGAGGTTTGGGGCTGTTGCCGTCGTTTGATGAGATAGATGACCCGGCAGAGTGGGTTGATGTGGGGAGGACTAGCTTCAGCGCCGGGAGAGTCGGTTGAATGGCGCACGTGAGGCGTGAGAACATCGCGCCTTCCCACTCTACCTAAACGAGATCCTCAGCCGACAAACCACGACTTTATCGTATGACATCTAGGGTGTGTGTAGACTCTACTTTTCAGCTAATGCGATACTTGCGTAATGCGGGTCGCGCTCCAACAGTGTGGTCCTGGCTTGGGCCGGCCAACCCAATGCCAGAGACGATACCACGGAGGATCCATCATACCGAGTAATGTGTCGGACTGCCATCGAGCACATGGCAATCTTTAGCTTCAGCAAGCGCCTCTCAATATAGTTAGCAAACACGTTCTTGTATGAGAAACAAGACGTAGTCCTCGTTCATGGACACAACATCTGACATACTTTGACGTGCGACAAGCATGGAAGATTGCTTGCATCACCTAAGTCAAGTAGCAAACCGTGTTCGATATAAGAACGCAGCCAAGCCGCCACTCTCCGTAGACCATTTCACTGTACCGAGATGACGATGAGCGAGATTATGACCAACCCTACAGCAAACGAAGAGCTCCGTGCTCGCCTTACTGAACTCATGAAAATCGAAACAGACATGTCGGCTCTAGAAAAGAAACAACTAATTAGTAAGTCGCTCCGCCAACTCCCCTATCCCTCATTTGTTGCTCTTACCATAAGGTCTGGGCCGTTTGTTGAGCTTCAGCAGCGAACCTATGTTTCATCGTCGGCGCTCACCAGTACCCGACGTTCGACCCACAGACCGTGTACCTAGTGTTAGGGCAGCATGTCGACCGGCCTGGGTTCTCGATGTATTACATTGATGGCCACAACAAGATCGGAGGCAAAAGAACCTTATCGAGAGAAGATGCACTGGATGGGCTACGAACTGAAGTCGAAAAGCAGGTCTTGAGTATATGCCGAAGGCCTTGAAGTCTAGCATGATGCGTTTCTCGAGACCAAGTATCAAGTTTTATCTCTGCTCGTATAGCACCAGCTGTTGATGTGTAACTTCCAATCGTGTCTTCCTCTGCCAGCTCTAGACAGTCTTCATCCAGCTCGGTTCTTCCTGCTCAAAAGACTTGAACCCTGGAGCGGGAATCTTATCAAACAGTCCACCCTTCAACGCAATCTTATCGCCAGCTAGTACAGATGTGATTGGGCTTTCTCTAGTTAGCTAGACTTTTCCCTAATGCTACGTGGGCCATCAACTAACCACCCGCAGTTGCTGCAGAATTGACGAGTAATCGGGTTCCCGCTCTTCGTGTCGTTGTCTCGGTAGTCTTTGAGATACTTGTTCGGATCGTTGATTGTGACTTGGGGACTGTCGAGAATGTATACGATTGATCCGATGCTTCCTCCTGCGCGGCGGCAGTTGGCGCTTCCTAGTCAATATGATGCCGATAGAGGCTACAGTGGTGATACATACCAGTAGCAAATAGCGGACTGCTCAGGCATAGTAGGCATGGAAACTTTGATGCTTCCGCAGTTGCAGCGTCCCTCGGCCATCGTAATTGAATGCGGAACGGGGCTTTCTCGGTGAACAGTGTACTGGAAGTTTTATAGCCTGCAATGCGGAGAAGAATTGCAAATAGGACAACTTTGACAAGGAGATGGGAGCAAAGATCTTGCAGAAAAGAGGTGCTAGTTACTGGATTGAAGACATCAACCGTTTGGGTCTTATGACGTGTTATCCATAGCGTGGAGTTCGTGAACAGGTGGAGAAGCGGAATAGGCCTCGGCAAACTAAACGGGGCGAGTCGCTGCGCGTAACGAGCATTGAGAGTGACTATCGCCGTCCAGAATCGTGTTATTGCTTCATTGAGTCGTTGCATCCTTGGTTCGGGACGCGATGATGACGTCTCGAACGAAGTATGCTTCCAAAGGCGAATGATCCTTGACAACCTGTCTACGTAGGTACCGGGTACTCAATGGAAGCCTGGTGCAACCCTTGATGCGGTCAGTTGAGGAAACCTTCTGTATTCCACGACAAGACGGGGTAAATGGCTATATCGACTCGATGAACCGATCGGCATTCTGATAGTGCTGTTACTGATCCGGCGCACAGGGGCTTCGTGTGCAGTGGAGTGTGTAAGCATTAATCATCCTCTCGTCCTCAGAACAAACAGTACAGCAACTGATGAAAGGTCTTTCATAGATAAAACTGTAGAGAAGATCACTGAGATGGAGTGAGGTTGAAGCATAATATGCGTAATCCTCATAGGCATCCGGATCAGGCTAGCGCGCCATTCAGTCCTAACGCGGCGCGATTCCGCGTCTACAAACACGAACAACACGGCGATACAACAGTACAAGCACAAAGCGGAGAAGATACTAGACACACCTTCGCAAGCCTCTGAAAATAAAGCCCTACCTCAAAATGGTAATTGACGACCCTGCCCTCTTAATAATAACCCCATACTAACCCCCACAGACGCGCGACTCAACAGCAACCTACCTGCACATGCACTCGTCGCACCACGCCGACCTCCTCGAGCAATTCACCAACCTCACCTCCTCCCAACTCACCCCGGAAGACATCTACATCCCGCCGCACCTCCAACCCGTAAACCCCGAAGACGAAGACGACGTCGTCCCAGACCAACACGCCGCATTCGGCATCCAGCGAGCGACACAGACAAAGAAGGAGCCGACATGGCGGGATCTAGGTCTTGATGAACTACTGAGGAGAGGCCCTATGGTCGGCGGAAGCGGGAGTGGCAGCGGAACGGCGGTTGCGAGCGGTGGTGGGATTGTTGGGCAGGGAAGAGAGGAGCCGTTGAGGTTGGCTTTGGCCAGGCAGCCCGGTGCGAGGATGGGAGTTAGAGCGGGGAATGGGAGTGGTGAGAGTTCTGGGAGTGGGGGTAGTGGCGCGAGTGGTGCTGCTGGGAATGGATTGCCGCGATGAAGGGAGGCTACACACTGAAGGACAAGCACTGAAAATGGCGGCAAGACACATTCTTCAACTTTGCGAAACAAGTTACAGGCAGTGGGCAGGTGGTATTGGTGTCCTGACTAGAGCTGTGATATCGACATCTGAAGGCCGCTCCGACAGGGAACTTTGGCAACGGCTTCACAGCCTACTGCGATCGCCGATGAAGGCCATACGAAGTGGCACCGTTCATCACGTACCCAACACTACGGATGGCTTTATTGGGATTCACTGCGCGAGAAGGGTGGACATGAAACGAGCGTGGAAGACCAACTTATTCGCGTAGGGTCCAAGATTCGCGTTGTGTCTCTGGCTAAGGCGTGAACAATTCGCAAATGGATAGGACAAACTTCCATTCACAGGATTCAATACAGCATGATGAGATCACGGACATCATATATGGCACATTAACTGACGAAATGTGAACGATTTTCGAGAAATGCTTCACGCCATGTCTAGATGATGGTTTGATAATCAGACTCCTCTCAGCCCACCTGATACATTCGGACGCCCTCCTCTGTCCTTGTAGTATCAACGCTCACTTGCTGTGTACGCAGGCACATCAACCTACGTGCGCGCTCGCAGTACGCTTGCCAGACAAACACCGCCTTGATCACGCACCACACATAGTGCCGCCAACGCATCCGGCTGATACCTCCGTCGGCCTGAGGCATCTTCTGTCGAATGATTCTGTACATCAATGCCTGCGCTAAGGCCTCCCAGTTTGCGCATCGACCGCAGCCGTCACCTACTGTGCCCTCAAGATCCCTGATACGGTCGCATACGAGCCGGTACATCTCAAAAGCATCTGCGTGCTTGGCGAGTGGTGCGTCAGGGCGCCCGAGAGACTTGAGATCGTTGAACCGAGGTTCAGTCGCTACGAGTTGTATTGGATTATGTCGCTTCATATAAGTAGGATCTTTAGGCACCCCTTCCGCCTTTCTCAACGATTGGTAATGGAAGCGACGAGCCACGTTGATCATCATAATGGGCAAATCGTTGATCATGGCTTCTGCATTCCACTGGAACGGCATCGGAGCGGTAGTGGTGAGCAGTTCTCGAGTCTGCAAGTTAATGATGCGGTACGTCTCCTTTGCCAGAGATGTTGGTATATGCAGGGATAGGGAGAGGCCCTGGATGCCGACATCGCGTCGACCGTCGTCTGTGTTTTCTAGTTCATAGAGGAAGGGAATCTCAATCGGCTCGCGACACATGGGGCAAAGACATCTTCGCTTTCTTTTGAACCACACACTCAGACAAGAAAGGCAGAAGACATGTCCACACGGTGTCCGGATGGGTTCGACGGTTTGTTCGAGGAAGGTCTTCCTGTATGCTCCCGGTAGCTGGCTGAGGAAGTCCAGGTGTGTCTCGACGCCTGCACCGATGCTTCCATATTCTCGACCACAGACAAAGCACGTCGGCTCATCCCATGGTGCTTCCGTGAGTGTAGAGACGGCGAGTACGCGGTCAACAACGTCTTGGTATGTGGCAGATGACGAGTCCATGTTCGGTTGAGGTCTATAGTTGTATAAACGCATTTAGACTACTGGGTAGCCCATTTATCCTCCATGGCTCTGGGTTGCCACCAACGAATAGCAAAATTCCTGGTTGCATTGAATGATCGCAGACGGAGTCCAGTCGCCACAGTCATTCACCTTCGAGCTGTTTAGCCCAGGCGATGTGTGATGCTATGCATGTAAGCGTTTAACCGACACAGCTTTCACATATTCGTGTATAGCTCGTAATATAGTATTAACAGTGGGTGTACTTGGTATATAACATGTGAATGATGAGTGGAGACAAATATGCTGCTCAGTCATCCGTCAGATCAATACACTCAACCCCCACTGGTACCTTATAAGTACTTGTTGGTTGTTTGTTTGTCATGACAGCAAGCGAAGAAGTACGTGGCTCTTTTACGTCCTTGGCAGGGTCGGGAGATGTCGTTGCGAAGTGTCGAAGCCGAGCAGCGCGTATCTCAGCTGCGGTAGGTGCAGGAGATGGTGTAACTTGATCTTCTGTATTTGGATTCGAAGGTGGAGTTGCAGACACTGGCAATAGATTAGCGCGCGGAGGAGGGCGCGACCAGTCAGGTAGGTCGACTGGTTCCCTTCCTATAAGACCTGCGTGAACACCTCTCATTGGCATACTTGATATGCGCGATTCATTCTCCACTCGTCGGGGATTTTGAGAAACTCTGGATGGCACAGCCGCGCTGAGTGCTTCATCAAGCGACCAAGCAGGTACAGAGGCCCCGTGTACATCTCTACCGGCTTCTCTCATTGCAAAAATGCTTTCATATCTGCCACGATTTGAAGAAGGTAAAGCGGAAGACCTTTGTATTGGGGGGATCTTGGCGCCTTGATCTTGCATGCTTAGCCGCAAAGCTAACTGCAGCTCTTCGTCTTCTTCATCTGGGATATCGAATGGCAATGTGTTTGCTACAGGATTCCGGAAAGGATCCGAAACGGATGAATCGTTCTCCTGATCTGACGGCTCAGGCGAACCAAGATCAATAATGTGAGATGTCGTCGGTTGATTCAATGCAGGTTCTTGAGAGCGAGTGTTGGCTGGTAGAGAAAGCCCATCCTCATCTTCAGAGTCAGAGAGTGCAATATAATCGAAGATCTTTTGTGCTGTCGGCGTCATCTGCGTATCTTGAAACTTGGCCTTCGCAGCTGGTCCTCTGGATTTCCTGGGGGATGCACTGTATGTAGCCTGGGTAGCGGAGATATCGTTTCCTTTGTTCGTACGTTTTCGCTTAGCTGTGCCTGAGGCTTCGCCGTCTTCCCCAACTTCAGCTATTGGTCGCTTGCGTTTTGGCGTACGCTTTGGTGGTGCAGGGGGCGGTTCTAGTACGTCCGGTGGAAGAACTTTACGCAGCCAGTACTCAGGATATTCGCATTCGACACGATGCTCTGGGTCAAACAAGGTCTGCTTGTCTCCATTCCAGCACCCTAAACGCTCACCCTCGAAGTCGGCTCTGCTCAGGGTAGTGACGCCAAAGGGTGAAAAGGTCAGCTTACGTTCGAAAGTGCGTATGGTCACTTCGTTGTCGGTTTTCTTCGCTTTTTGCTTTGTGAGCCTGATTCCGTGGACCAGTTCTTGTGGTAGAGACGGATCTCTTGCGGTGAGGCTTCGTGTCAGCAGCACAGGCCCAACCCAGTTCATGTATAAACGTCCCCATATGTTGAAGCGCTCGCTGGTAAGTGTAAGCAACTTCAGCTCCTGGATCGGGCGAACATAGTCAAGGTTGAGGCGCGACTTGCTAAGTAAATCCGCGTCGCTGGTGACTTTCGGTTTGTAGTACTTTTGTAAGATCTTGAAGTCTGGAAAGGCTGGCGGGATTTCGATAGCGCGCCCGCGAGCACTCCGCTCCAGGAACATGGCCAGCTCCACAGTCCACATGCCGCACTCCATCTGATCTCGACAGGCACAAAGCCGCCGACCGAGTCCTTGCTTGACTGCCTGCAGGGCTAGAGACGGCCCACACTGTGGTAGACCTTTCACGTCGTAGTCCCCACCGACAAGCATAGCAAAGAGCACAAGTCCTTCTCGGTCTAGGCCATATCTCTCTTTCAGATCGTGTGCTCGCACAACGCTCGCGTATTTCCCATTCTTCTTGGTGTTCTCCTTGGACCTGTCTGTCGTGCCCTTTTCTTTCGCGACACGGTGATCGCGTAGCCAGAGGGTGCAGCCAAACATGAGACTGTCAGAATCTTGCGACCAAACAGCGTCAACCATGCCCAGAATCTGCAGACGAGCGCATTCTGCCTCTGCTTCCCCCGGGGCCTCGTGGTATGGGATCCCAAAGTATTGCAGCATCTCCTTGAGCAAGCGCTGCTCCTCGTAGTTTATCCGTGCTCCACCTCGCTTTCCCCGCTTCCAAGGTCGACCGGGGCCATCGAAGACGAATATGAGCTGAATGTTTAGGGTAAGAAGGCGGCAGATACGGTAGAACATAGCTTTCTCGATGCCTTGGTAGGCGTACTCGTTGGAGGCTGGTCCTATTAGCAAAAGCAAAAGCAGAGACGACGCGTGTACTACTGACTCTCCCGTATGGTGTAGACTTGCTGCACAGTGAGGTTGTTGAAGCGCCAATCGGCCTCGTCGACAGCAATGCGAAGTGACCTGCCATGACGCCGGTGATGCTCTTCGGCGAGTTGCGCGACGGGTACGCTTTCTTCGTGCTTCTTAATCGTGTCCCATAACCTGTCCAGGCGTCAGTAGGAGCTCAAATCCCAATTGGTCTGGAGGCCTACGCTGGAAGGCCCATGACGTGGGTGTGGGGAAGATGGGAGGTCGGCTAGCCGACCGTTGCACGCGTCTTAGCGCGATTGGCGAGGATTATGGCAGGCTGGGACAGCCGATGCTAAGGGACGAAAGGCAAATCTGCTATGTGTTGAGGCTCAATCAGACATCGTTTGCTGATTTAGACGACAGTGAAGGTGTGGCGCGGTTGACCGTCGCCCAATCTCCCTATCGCTCCTTCCAAAGTTCCATTGCGCGACGCGAGAACACGTGATTTGCCATTCCAGGCTAAGCGCCATTTGGGCATCCTCCAGGGCTCGATCCATCTCAGTACTCATTCTTCCACCTCATCTTGTCAAGTTGCGCATCATGGTCACGAAAATAGTACATTGTGGCTGGCTTATAGTTCACAGTCCACCTCAAACGCCCCTTCCAAATCATGCCACAGCTCACTCTCCAAAAAGACGCTCATGTCGCTAACCCGATCTTGCGCACTTTTCCGTCGCAGCTTCAACGCCTCTCCCAAGATATTCGCCGCCGAAAGGGCCATATCCGATTTTCTACCCAAAAACCATAACGCCTTAATACAAGCATCCGCGCGTTGGAAAGCATCCTCTCGATCCAGGTCTGACGGCAGCAGAGTATCTGACTCAAGCAACAGTACGCCTGCCTTGGCGAACGCGCGAATCAAAACTACAGTCCATGGCTCCGTCAGCAGTGCGCCTTCGTTGACTGCGAAATGGAACTCGGACTGTGCGAATGATGCGTCTTCGCGCGGGCATGCACAGCTCGCTAGGTCTGATAGGACCCGGCATTGGTTCTCGCGGAATTTCGCGATGAAGGCACTAATATTCCGTTGATGTGTCGCTTCCTCGAGTCCAAGCTCTGATTCGTCTACCACTTCCATCAAGTCCGCAAGCAGGAGAGTCGCAAGGTGCCAGTGTCCGGTGACGCATACGTACCATGATTGGACGCGCGGTGGAAGGCGGTCGTGGTTCTGTATGCAGTCTCGGACGAAGGGTGCATACAGCGCATCCCAGTGGTTACACACATCCATTGCGGCACTGACAGCCTCTTCGACCTTCGCGCCTCGTGCGTTTCTTGTGAGAAGCGTCTGGATGCGACAGACTCTTCTGAACAGCAATACCTTGACTGGGGCTGCGTCACACAACGCAGCTGCGGCTTCATCGAATGAGCATGGCCATCTTGTGGGCGCATGTTCTGGATTCTGCTGTTGCCGAGAAAACAAGTAGTCGTCCCACAGTCCGTCGTCTGTAGAGGAAGGTGTTGCCGCTTGTTGGGCCGAGTGCTCAATCTGCATGCTTTCGCTCATGACTACATCGCTATCTTCATCCGACACCACCAGTGGTCGTTTGTGCATGGCTGCCGATAGCGTGTCGAACATGACACCGACCCAGAACAGGAGGTCCACTGTCGCACGATCAGCGTCTTCAAGACGCACAACGGGTGAGCGTCGTTGCCGTGCGGAGCGCCCTGATCCGGGGTTGCTATATCGCGCTTCTCTCGACATGGTCATGCGCGACCTCAAGGAGTGAATGAGTCGAAGGCCTGATTCAAGATGTACAGGAGGTCCGTCGGACTCAATAGCGAGATCCAACTTCGACATCAGATCCGCGCACTCATCGACGTCCTGATCGGTCGAAAGCATAGGGGTCTGTTCCATCGGGACTTCCGTGCAGGCGTCGGTCGCCAGTAGTTCGGTCTTTGACAGAGCGTTCTGCTCATCCTGAGCCCCTTCTGCCTCCACAGGCCGTTGTGTCAGGGCGAAAATGATCTGTGCAAGTACCACCCGGAAGGACTCCACTTCACCGGCTTTTTGCAGTGCGTTGCGCGCCTCATGCCACGCTGATATCTGCAGGGTACGATCAAAGTTCACGCCAGCCGGTGCGCATTCGTCCTCGATGCTATCAAAAACGCTACTGCCACCATCGGTCGAGGTGCTGTGGAACGGGTACTTCGTTCTGCTTCTGGGACTGGACTGTGCCCATTGTGAAGCGAAGGAAAAGACCGCCAAGTCTAGAGCTCTAGATGCTGCGCGGTCTTCCGTTTGAGTAAGCTTGCGCCCTCTGATGGCTGAGGCTAGCCTATCGAGGCGCACCACTCTGTGATAGATTCGATTCCAATCAGGCTTAGCGTTTGTGGCTAGCAGGTTATCCGATTTTGCACTGTAGGGACAGGTTCTTTCTGTGACCCAGCATGCAAGTGCGTTTTCGAAACTATCATGATAGATCCTCAGCAGGCTTTCAGTCAGATACGCATTGTTGCTTGATGAAAGAAGATCGCTGGCATATGATATCACTGGGTAAGGTTGCGCACCGTTTGAGATTGATGCTGAGGAGCTAGAGCGTCGCCGTTTGAGACTAGTACGAGCGATCGTTCCATCCGATATGGTAGAAGGCGGATTACTTGGGCTTATGCTGCTGGTGTCCTGACTCTCAGAGGGGCTGTCGCGTTCGCGCTTATCATCGCTGATCTCCGATGTTGTCTTCAGAGACGAGCCTCTGCCAGAGTCGCAACCGAGTATAGTCCAGCTTTCTTCGGCAAACCCTCCAGCGAGTTCTGGTTCATCTCCGGTCCCTTCTTTCTCGAATACTTGCGATGGTTCTTCAAAGAATGCGATTGTAGGATCGGTGGTGAACATGGATGAGCCACACGGAAAATCTCCAAACGTCACGCCCAGTTCCACGGGCGTAGTATGGGACAGAAGGTCATCGCCGTGCGGATCCCGGTTTTCTTTTAGTTTCACGGTTGCGCTGGATTGGCACGATAGGTTTGGCTTCTGTGCTCGGCTGGTCGAATTGCTTCTTGTGCGGCGCCTTTTCGCTGGCGGTGAAGTCGTCGACACTGGTTGCGAAGCTTGCGATACGCGTTGTGAGCGCAGCCATTCGAATGTGCAGCTCTTCTTTGTCTTCTCACAATTACCGCACGAAGCTAGCGGCCCATAAACATCTGACAGGTTAGCTTGCGCGTTAGGTACCATCGACGAAGGCGTGTCTTACCACTATAATGGAACACCGTAGGGGTTGCTCCAGATTTGCTCGTTTCTAAAAGAGTGTCTTCTAGAATTGCGGCGTCGCACGCTCTTTTCCCTTTTCGACATTGGTCGCAGCATCTGTTCTGTTTCCGACTCGTTTTGGACGGTTTCGTGGCTGCCATCGCCCCCGAAGATGGCGACGTCCAGGCATAATCGAGGAACGACTTTGGTTGCACGTCCACGAAGTTCATGGCTGCTGCTCGGATTGTCAGTCGAAAAGAGGGAAAAGCACGAGAGGTCTGCTTATGCAAAGAGGCAAGTGCGTTGCTGATATGCACACCCCGCGTCGCCGGCTAGGACCCACATCCCAACACAGAAATGCGGGGAAAGCTAACGCGTGGCAGGGCACAACGATGCTCAACGCAAGCTTCAGTCCGGCTCATCACTGACGATTATGGATGCTGCACGGCCGTTTCTGTCGATCGAAGCTATTCCATCATATGTTCCTTGTCTTGAGTTGCCTGTTTCTCCCCAAAGGAAGCACTGCCTCTTCCATTGTAACGGCATCCAGACAGCTCACGGGACAGCTTGTACCGGACGCTCGGTCTGACCTAGGCACTATTCTCTGAGCCTGCAGCCATCCATGTTATAATTGGTCCCTCGACTGGCGATCGGACTGTTCCGAAACTTTCGAGGCAGGCTACTTACGGAGAACGAGCATCGGATCGGCCCACACAGGCATCCACGGACGGCTTTCAACGTCTTTGCCAGCACGAAAGACTGCTCGAATCGCAGCTCAAACGACAGGTTCTTTACATGTTCGTGCGCCGTATCCGTTCATGGCTTATCTCTCGCCCATATGCAACCCTGTATGCCACACATGACGCTAAAAAGATGTGGGGGTGTGATGTGCACTACACTCATAGCATAACTCAAGGTTTCTCGACCCAACATTACGGTTTTGACGTTTCTCAAAGAGTGTACCAAGAGAGCAAGAAGATCGGCCGGTCCTCAGGGTGCAATTTGACGCGAGTTTCGATATGAAGACAATGACGATCACGTCCATCCGGCCGAATCCGACAAAACAAAACGGACCGACTGCATAAGCAGAGTCACCCAACATGACATACTATCAAGCCCCCAAGGCTTTGTAGATCTGCGTCTCAACGTCGAACCACAATCCAAGCACCTTGGGATCGCCAAACGGCAGGATCTGACTGCAAACGATTCCGCCGACTCCCTTCTCTCTGTCACACCACCACCAGCAGTTCGGGAGCCCAGCCCAGAACCCAGTACTCTTGGACCGACCAGTCGGGCCTCCGTTGGACAGCATGAACGTCAGACCCCAGCCTTGAGGAGGCTTACCCTCGACTGGATATATGTCTGGAATAGCGTTTGTGAGCTCAGGCTTGGCCGCTGGGATTCCCTGACGACCAAAGTCGGGGAACTGTGATATTTGATTCGTGAACATGAGGTCTACTGTCTCTTTCTTGAGGAGTTGGGCGCCGGTCTTGGCCGACTTTCCGTCGTTGAGAAGTGTTGCGATGATTTCTTAAACTCTGTTAGTGGTGTCGTGTACATATTGCGATATGGGCAACTTACGCGCATAGTCTGATGGTGTTGCGAAAGCACCTGCGCCTCCGCTGTTCAGGATGCCGCCAATCTCGTTGCTTGAAGCCTTCAAGGGCTTGAGGAGTAGATGATCTCGCTCGACCAAGCTGCCATCTTGGTTTCGTTGATGCATGGACGCCAGTCGCTTTTTCATATCCTCGTTGGGGAACATGGTTATATTCTTCAATCCCAGCGGCTCGTAGATGTTCTTGAGGCAGTAGTCGTTTAGCGACATGCCAGTCTTGCGTTCGAGTGCCAGGCCAGCGAAGTCGATGTTTACGCCGTACTGCCAGCCCTCGCCCGGTTGAAAAGTCAGCGGCTGAAGTATGTCCTTGACGTCCCCGGAGAACTCGTCAAACCCATCCAATACGGCACACAGAGATTCGTTGAAGAATGTGTAGCCAAAGCCAGCTGTGGGTCATGATTAGTGAGAGGATTCAACTTTGCGAGGATGGCCTCGTACCGGTATGCGTCAAGAGCATTCTCAGGGTTATCTTCCTCTTCTTGTCCACCAGGCTACCATCCTTTTGCAATACTTTCGTCTCTTTCAGCTCCGGAACCAACCTCTCTAACTCATCGCCATCATCCAGGTGTAGCTGTCCCTGCTCAACAAGCTGCATACAGGCAAGCCCGGCGATCATCTTGGTGCAAGATGCGATCCAAAACACGTTGTCGAGAGTCATGTTCTCGTTGCTTGCGACACCACGTTGGCCAGCGGCGTGCGCAAAGAGTTCTTCGCCATCTTTCCCTACAACAACGACGCTAGTTCCTGGGATAGATGTCTTTGGATCCGCGCAGGCTGCATCAACGGTCTGCTTCAGGTTTTGGACGACTTCAGTGGGCAGCGGCATGGTGAGATATTATAGCGGTACGGCTTTACAGAAGAAGTGCTTCGCGTATTCGGTAACACAGTAGGTGCTGTCGGTATGTACTTTTGGTACATCTATATACCGGTACATGATCTGCGGCACCGGACCTGCGGGCGTGCGGGGTGATTGCCATTCGGTGTCGACATCGGGTACTGCCCCTCACGTCGCACATCGTGACAAAGTCTAAAACATTGGCAACGAGACTCCAGCCAAAAACTCCAGCCATGAAGATCATCCTCTAAGTTTCGTGCGTAGGTAGGCCAAAACGAACGCGATGTACGCTCTCGGTGGGTGCGGGCTATTGCGCGCGATGACAGCTAGCGTGCTGAGCTGGAGCTCGGCCGAGGCTTCTGCAAGCATCCAAGCGTACCTAGGTACGTTTGCGACGTGTCTGCTTTCGCAAATCTGGAGTCGTACTATACTACCATCTCTAGGTAGGTCGCGCCGAAGACTTGAGTGCTCGCCGCATTTGTCTAGCAGCGCTTAGCTGGCCGTTACCAAATGGTTGCTCAATCTGTCTCGCCCCAGGTGATCACGAGTTACTACTACTACTATTGCGTCTATTCCAGCCCGATCTGACCTCAATACTTGAGTATGCAGACTATCCTGTTTCCACGAAGTGAAACTGTGGTTTGATCACAAATTGCACTTCCTGCTCTGTGTACTTCCCATGATATGCCCACATCGGGTGTCTTCGCGATGAACAGTGTAGAAGCAGTCCGCTTCTTCATGACCCTTTAAGTAGTGCGTAGACGAGCCGTGGTCATTCGCGGAGTCCAGCATGGCCCCCTTTGTCTCCATAGCGATACAGGTCAGGTCATGCGCGAGTGCTGGGTCGTTTCTTCTATCTTTCCAGACCTGTCGCAATCCGTTCCTAAGCGCATATCGATCTCAGCCATTCTTTCCTGCATGGCGGACACACGGTTTTTGTAATTGCCCATGAATTCGACGACAACTAGAAGAATGTTCAGGCAAGTAGCGATTGCCAATGATACGAAAGGGCGTACAGCCATGGGCCCGCCAGGAGTAAGTATGCCCGAGGCAGCGAAAGCACTGTACAATGTACAACCAGTAGATATTGTAGGAGGAACAGCGCTCAAGTATGGATGAGTGAAGGGGTTGGCGAATGTTGTGACATTTGGGGAACCCAACGTCGAGACATTGTAAGTCCTATGAGGTCCTAATTCTTCTTGATCTTCTGTATTGCCTATCTCTATATCTTTGAATACATGCCATCCCATGCAGAGGACGAGGCCCGCCAGTTTGAGGATAATGGCTAGCATTATACCGAATCGAATCGGAAGGACCGTTGTCCAGTCTGTCGATCCAGGGTTCATGCGATGCATGTCCGCTCCATAAGCTATTATGAAGAGAGCGAGAATGACTAGCGATAGACCAAGCTTCTGTGCATAGCGCCATGGGTAGCGTTGTGTAATGCTTCTCCAGAATCTTTCCTCGTTGATCATCCCGGAAACGTCAATTATTGCCGGATCTACTCCGACCGCTTGTCGAAAATACGTATCCTTGAAGAAGTACCAGCCCATGCAAGCGCCGATACCAATATAGACTAGGACCGTACCCAGAACACCGGCGAGAATGTTCGAGCAACCGATGGCCTTACCTGGATAAGGGTCCATCGTCCAGTAATCAAACGAGTGAGAGAATGTGAGACCTCCAAGAAGAACTGCATATACACCGGGTATGTAAAGGTATCGCCACGGTATGTTGTTGTGGACTCTGAGCGTTATGCGGTTTGATGGTAAGGTGTCTTTCATGGTTGGATGTGCGATTTGTTGTGATTGGAATGATCTTCTGGTGAATTCAAGCACTTAGAGAACTTGAGCATTAGTAGTGCGTTTACAGGGAGGTGCCGAGATACCGGAACGCCTGTATGAGATCTCCTTCATACGTCATCTGACTCCTCGAAGAATACGCGCGCCTATGAAGGATGCAGCTTGGATAAAGGCGGCAATACGGCAATGCGGCAACACTACATCGCGAGAGTAGAGGAGATCAGGCGACTGGTATTCGGGTAGGTCGGTCCTTTGCGAAGGTGAAGTCGTTATTGGCCTCGGGTGGTGCAGGCGCTGCAGGCTCGGCGCATTCCAGTTGGTCGCATGTCGCAGTATTCGAGACAGAACCACGACCCCAACTGCAAAGCTTATCTTAGATCATGGAACACGCTTG